CCTCCTCCTCCTCCTCCTCCCCATTGCGCCCTCTGCTCTTCTCCGGCCCGCCCGGGTCGGTGGGGGGGGCCGTTGGAGCCGGGGCCAGCCACAGGGGCCGCCGCGGGAGGAGGCCTCCCCCGCCCGCCGGGGCCCGGGGGCGCGTCTGGCATCGAGGCTTCCGGGCGCTCTTCGCCCCTCCTCGTGCTTTGAGGGCTTCCTTTAAGTCAGGCGTGTCCCTCTACAGGAGGACAGTTCAAAAATAGTTAGAATATAATATGGGGACGATTCTGACTATTTGGGAGCACGTTTGGTGCATCTATCTAAAATTGTCGTCCAAAATCCGCCTGTAGGAGGACACGCCCGAGGTAAGCCTTCCTCTCTCTCTCTCTCTCTCTCTCTCTCTCTCTCTCAGAAGAAGAAGAATGAGAAAAAAAACAATAAAAAAAAAAAAAAAAAAAAAAAAAAAAAAAAAAAAAAAAAAAAAAAAAAAAAAAAAAAAAAAAAAAAAAAAAAAAAAAAAAAAAAAAAAAACTTGTTGGCGCTCCGCGCGGACTTCTTGGATCCGCGGCGGGCCCCCCCAGGCGGCGCCTCCGGCGCCGCCCCTAGCGCGCTCCGCGCGCCAGGGAGGGGGGTCCAGCGCAGATCCAAGAAATGCTTGGAGCGCCAAGAACTTATGCTTATGCCGTTGTTTCTTCTCTGCTCTCTTCTTATTTTCACAATTATTATTACCATTGCTATTTGCTTATGATAATTACTGCTACTACTACTACTACTACTACGACTACTACTACTACTACTACTACTACTACTACTACCACTACTACTACTACTACTACCACCACTACTACTACTACTACTACTACTACTACTACTACTACTACTACTACTACCACTAGCATTACTCTTATAAGTTGCACTATTAGTAGTTTTATTGTTATTTGTGTTAGCATTATTATTAGTAGTATTAGAATTAGTAATAGTTTTAATATTAGTATCATTAATGTTAGTATTAGTCGTAGTAGTAGTAGTAGTAGTAGTAGTAGTAGTAGTAGTCGTAGTAATAGCAGTCGTAGTAGTAGTAGTAGTAGTAGTAGTAGTAGTAGTAGTAGTAGTAGTAGTAGTAGTAGTAGAAGTAGCAGCAGCAGCAGCAGGAGTAGCAGTAGTAGTAGTAGTAGTAGCAGTAGTAGGAGGAGGAATATTCGTAGCATTGTTTTCCTTACTACTAAAGTATTAGTAGTATTATTATTTCTAGTACGACGACTACTACTACTACTACTACTACTACTACTAATAATAATACTACTACGACTAACTACTACTACTACTACTACTACTACTACTACTACTACTACTACTACTACTACTACTACTACTACTACTACTACTACTACTACTACTACCAGTACGACGACGACGACGACGACGACGACGACGACGACGACGACGACGACTACTACTACTACTACTATGATTATCTCCCACATGCTAAGTGGGGTTATGGTGTTCTTCTTTCCCGCGTCGCACCCGCGTCTCCTCGCCCCTCTCCCTCGCGTGGCAGGCGTGGCACTTTCTCGACAGCAGAAGGGGTGCGCAGGGGGTGGTCTCTCAGCGCGGCCTTTATGCGTGCCGGGGTCAGAGAGCGCGGCAGGCGCGGCACTTTCTCGACACCATAGAGGGGGTGCGCAGGGGGGTCTCTCAGCGCGACCTCTATGCGTGCCAGGGTCGGAGAGCGTGGCAGGCGTGGCACTTTCTCGACACCAGAGGGGGTGCGCAAGGGGTGGTCTCTCAGCGCGGCCTCAATTATGCGTGCAAGGGTCGTAGAGCGTGGCAGGCGTGGCACTTTCGCGACGCCAGAGGGGGCGCGCTGGGGGTGGTCTCTCAGCGCGGCCTCTATGCGTGCTAGGGTCGGAGAGCGTGGCAGGCGTGGCACTTTTGCGACACCAGAGCGGGTGCGCAGGGGGTGGTCTCTCAGCGCGGCCTCTATGCGTGCCAAGGTCGGAGAGCGTGGCAGGCGAGGCAGTGCGCAGGGGGTGGTCTCCCAGCGCGGCCTCTATGCGTGCCACTGTCGGAAAGCGTGGCAGGCGTGGCACTTTCTCGACACCAGAAGGGGTGCGCAGGGGGTGGTCTCTCACCGCGGCCTTTGTGCGTGCCAGGGTCGGAGAGCGTGGCAGGCGTGGCACTATCTCGACACCAGAGGGGGTGCGCAGGGGGTGGTCTCCCAACGCGGCCTCTATGCGTGCCAGGGTCGGAGAGCGCGGCAGGCAGAGTGGGTGCGCAGGGGGTGACCTCTCAGCGCGGCCTCTATGCGTGCCAGGGTCGGAGAGCGTGGCAGGCGTGGCATTTTCTCGACACCAGAGGGGGTGCGCAGGGGGTGGTCTCTCAGCGCGGCCTCTATGCGTGCCGGAGAGCGCGGCAGGCGCGGCACTTTCTCGACACCCGAAGGTGGTGCGCAGGGGGTGGTCTCTCAGCGCGGCCTCAATCACGCGTGCAAGGGTCGGAGAGCGCGGCAGGCATGGCATTTTCTCGACGCCAGAAGGGTGCGCAAGGGGGGGTCTCTCAGCGCGGCCTCTATGCGTGCCAGGGTCGGAGAGCGCGGCAGGCGTGGCACTTTCTCGACACCAGAGGGGTGCGCAGGGGGGACTCTCGCACCGCGGCCTCCATGCGCGCCAGGGTCGGAGAGCGCGGCAGGCGCGGCACTTTCTCGACACCAGAAGGGGGCGCGCAGGGGGGGCCTCTCAGCGCGGCCTCTATGAGTGACAGGGTCGGAGAGCGCGGCAGTCGCGACACTTTCTCGACTCCAGAGGGGGCGCGCAGGGGGGGGCCTCTCAGCGCGGCCTCCATGCGTGCCAGGGTCGGAGAGCGCGGCGGGCGTGCCATTTCTCGACACCAGAGGGGTTGCGCGGGGGGGTCTCTCAGCGCGGCCTCTATGCGCGCCAGGGTCGGAGAGCGCGGCAGGCGCGGCACTTTCGCGACGCCAGAGGGGGCGCGCAGGGGGTGGTCTCTCAGCGCGGCCTCTATGCGCGCCAGGGTCGGAGAGCGCGGCAGGCGCTGCACTTTTTCGACACCAGAGAGAGTGCGCAGGGGGTGGTCTCTCAGCGCGGCCTCTATGCGTGCCAGAGTCGGAGAGCGCGGCAGGCGTGGCATTTGCTTGGCACCAGAATGGGTGCGCACGTGGCGGGCGTGCCATTTCTCGACGCCAGAAGGGTTGCGCAGGGGGGGGTCTCTCAGCGCGGCCTCTATGCGTGCCAGGGTCGGAGAGCGCGGCAGGCGTGGCACTTTCGCGACGCCAGAGGGGGCGCGCTGGGGGTGGTCTCTCAGCGCGCCCTCTATGCGCGCCAGGGCCGGAGAGCGCGGCAGGCGCGGCACTTTCTCGACATCAGAGGGGGTGCGCAGGGGGTGGTCTCTCAGCGCGGCCTCTATGCGTGCCAGGGTCGGAAAGCGCGGCAGGCGTGGCACTTTCTCGGCGCCGAGGGAGCGCGCACGGGGTGGGCTCTCAGCGCGGCCCCCATGCGCGCCAGGGTCGGAGGGCGCGGCAGGCGCGGCAGCTTCTCGACACCAGAGGGGGCGTGCAGGGGGCGGCCCTCTATGCGCGGCAGGTGCAATTCAGCGGGCGCGCAGGGGGTGGTCTCCCAGCGCGGCCTCCATGCGCGCCACGGCGGGAAAGCGCGGCATGCGCGGCAGCTGGAACCGTAGACACCCTGGCCCGAATCTGCTCGAATATCGCAGGCGTTGCCTTGCCCCCCGCGCCGCCCATGCCGCCCAAATGTCCCATTGACGCACTGCCGCCTCCGCGCTCGAATCTGAGGAAGTGCATGACAGGCGCAGGCGTCGAGGTTAGCATTGTCAATTTGCGCAATTGTGGGGCAGCGTCGGTCAAACACGCAGTTCATTCTTACCACCGACAGCTGAAGAATTGGTGGCCTGATACGCTTCTTAACAGGTACGATGAGCTGCTCCATCGAGGAGGGGGCGACGATACCAGGAGGGAATGCTTGGCGAGGTACCTGCTGAACCCTCCATCCAGCGGGTTCCCCGCTGATCAACCGGGGGAGTCGGAAGTGGGCGATGGCTCGCCGTGGATGAAAGTTCGGCGAGTCGGCGACGTCGGCAACGGGGGCGCCCCCACGCCCGCGCAGGTCACGCCCATCAAGTCCACGCCCGTCGAATCCACGCCCATGCAGGCCTTCACCCCTCAGCGTTCCCCAGCAGTTATGCTCGCTACTTCTGTTCGTTCCACGCACACCCCTTGCGCGTTGCAGGTCGTGGTTTCTGTGCGCGGCCGCTATCCGAGCCAGTCGCCCAGGGCGTGGCAGGCGCGGCGCATCCTTGCAACCTGAGGGGGTCTGCAGGCGGTGGTCTCTGAGCGCGGCCGATATCCGAGCCGGTTGTCCAGGGCGCAGCAGGCGCGGCATTTTCTCGACACCATAGGGAGTGCGCAGGGAACGGCCACCAACATCAGTCTCACACGCTTCACTTCAGCTATCATCACTCCAGCCATAGCATAAGTATGTGGGGTTCCTCGGTAGCGTAATTATGATTATCGTCGTTCTTTCCATGATTAGATTATTACCATATTCTCGTCGCCGCGGCTGGATGCGGTTTTTTTTGCGTTGGCCAGGGCGCGCCGCAGGAAGGGTCGGGAGATCGATGCCTGAAGAAAGAGGACCCCCAATCAACCTCCACAAACTCGCGTCCACGTCGGGCATGAGCTGTTCCTCTTGCCCACCATCCTGGGAGCTGGTTTCGGTGCCCCGGCCCCGCCAGGCACGGCCCCGGGTGAAAAAACAAGTTTTTGGGAAGGGGTCGACGGGCCCAAGGCCCCGAGATTCGATAACATCTGGTGAGGGAGGCCCGGGCCCCCCTTCACCCGCACCCCCCCGTTGCTCGCTCCCCTTCCCCCTGTTTCCTCCCGTTCCCCTCCCTCTCCGCTGCCTTCCCTCGCCCCCCTCCTCCTTTTCCTCCTCCTCCTCCTCCTCCTCCTCCTCCTCCTCCTCCTCCTCCTCCCTCCTTTTCCTCCTCCTCCTCCTCCTCCTCCTCCTCCTCCTCCTCTCCCTCTTCCTCCTCCTCCTCCTCCTCCTCCTCTTCCTCCTCCACCTCCTCCGCCCAGTCCTCCTCCACCTCCTCCTTTTCCTCCTCCTCTTCCTCTTCCTCCACCTCAACCTCCTTATCCATCCTTGTCCCTTGTAAACAACTCCTCCCTGTCACCCCCAGACGTGTCGGTAGGGCGGGCTGGGCGTTTCGTCTGAGACGGCCTCACGATTTGTGATCTTGAAGCTTGAGATTTGCAACAGTTTCACTGATGGAGGGCGCGTCGCTTTCAAAATGTAGCTCTCGCCTTGGCGCCGCCCACATTCGTTGTAAAATGTGCCAAAGGCTTCAAAGATGGATGGCAAGTCGTTTTCAAAATCTGGTTGGCGCTCTAGCGCCGCGCACATACGTCTTAAAAGTTTACAATACTGTCAAAGATACAGGGTAGCTCGGTTTCAAAATGTGCGTTTCTAGCGCCGCGCGCACTCGCATTGAAAGTTCACAACATGGTCAAGGATCCGTATGGCTGAAACCCCAGGAATTCCGTTCTGACACGGTTAAAGACTGTCAGGGCGCAAAAGAAACGTTGATTCGCAGTGTGAAGTCCCAGGAAATGCAGTCTGGCACAGTTCAGGAATGTCAGGACCCTACAGTCACGTTGACTCGCGGCGTTGAATTTCCAGGAATGGCGTTTGGGCAATATTGAGGGTTCTCAAACTGTTGTCTTTGAATGGGGCAATTCCCGCAGCGAAGACAAATTATTGCAGAGACCAATGAAGAGGGAACTTGGAGGGATGGTTTGTTACAACATCGTCGATGCGTCCTGGGTTTACACTGGTCCTCCCCCCTCCCCACTCTCCCCTTCCGTTTACAATTAATCAATATGAATACTATTCTCCTCTCTCCCCTGATGACGTCCAGAAGATGTCCGCCCCCCCTCGCGCATTGTTTTTTACACCGGATTCCCGGGAGTTGGGTTTTCGCTTGAGTTTTTTTCGAAAATATTGTTCCCGCTGAAGCGCTGGCCTCATGTTCGGGCTTCCGCTCGTTCCGAATCGTGTTCCCGCCGCAGCGCTGGCCTCATGTTCGGGCTTCCGCTCGTTCCGAATCGTGTTCCCGCCGCAGCGCTGGCCTCATTTCCGCGCTTCCGCTCGTTCCACATCGTGCTCCCGCTGCAGCGCTGGCCTCATTTCTGCGCTTCCGCTCGTTCCTAATCGTGCTCCCGCCGTATCGCTGGCATCATTATTTCCAGTGCCATGCCACGGCATGCAATGCAATGCTATGTGGTGTTCCGCTGTGCGATGCCATGCCTTCAGCTGCAATGCTAGGATACGCAGTGCTTGACTTCGTAGTGCCACGCCATGCTATGCCATGCGACGCTTTGATCTTCAACTCCAGACTATGCCATGTTCTGTTCTGTGCCGCTGTGCGATGCAATTATTTGCGTTGCAATGCTTTGCGATGCAAGTCTTCACTACGCAACGCCACGCCATGCTATGACATACTACGCTCTGCCGTGCTCTTCTACGCCCTGCTATGCCGTGATCTACGATGCATCGCGCACCCTCTCGGGATCATTGCCCTGCTCAATATCCGTCTGTGCGAATAGAGAGGAGTTCTACCCCATGTTAAGGGATGGGAGGGAGGGGTAGGACGTCAGATATGACGCGAGCGCACTTGGCTTGTCTCCTCCCCCTCCCTCCCCCTCCCCCCCTCCTTGTCCGGCACCACTCCCTCCATCCCCCCCAACCTCCCTTGAGGTTTTCGGACCCCAGACATGCGACGTCCTGATTTTTTCAGGACGGCGTCCCCGGAAGTCCCGACCCTTTCCCCAGGACCGGCTTTTCGTCCCGAGTCGTTTTTTGACGGCCCCAGGGCCCGGCGAGGCCCCCCCCAGGCCGAATTTAGGCAAAAATTGCCCGTGCTGATTTTCTTACGACGCGATCATGTTTGGGTCTGTTTGTCCGACTTCTCGAGGCCTCCACCGGGGACCTCCGGGAACCTCCAGGAGATTTGCGGCCGGAATGCTCTGGGGGGGCGACCCCCAGAGTCTAAGGCTCCTAGATGGGGTCGGAGGATCACGTTGCATCGCCGATGCATCGCCGATATGGCTCAATGCGGAGCCCGATTTGCTTCACGCCGACGTCGCCGATTCATCGCCCACGTCGCCGATACGTCGCTGGTGCATCGCCGATGCATCGCCGATACATCGCCGATGCACCGCCGATGTATCAGCGACGTGGCGCGATCCTCCGACCCCGTCTACTCCGACCCCATCTAGGAGGCCTCTACAGAGGCCTCGTCCTCCTCGTCCTCATGAAAGGGAGCGGGCCTGCTCGCGCCCAGCGGTGCCCTCTTTCGCCCTCTCTGTGCCTCGTCACCTATCGTCGTCATCACCAGCACCATGATCGGCATCCTCGTAGTCATCATCATCATCACCACCACCACCACCACCACCACCATCATCATCATCATCATCATCATCATCATCATCAGCATCAGCATCAGCATCATCATCATCATCTGCAGCATCTGCAGCATCTGCAGCAGCATCATCCTCATAGACATCATCATCATCATCATCATCATCATCATCATCATCATCATCATCATCAACAAACTCATCCTCATTATCATCCTCATCATCATCCTCGTCATCGTCATCACCATCATCATCAGCAGCAGCATCATCGTCATCGTTATCGTCATCGTCGTCATCATCATCAGCATCGTCATCGTTATCATCCTCATCCTCATCATCCCCATCCCCACCATCATCATCATAGTCATCGTCGTCATCGTCATCGTCATCATCGTCGTCATCATCGTCATCATAGTCATCATTGTCATCATCATCGTTATCATCAGAATCATCATCCTCATCCTCATCCCCCGCCTCATCCTCATCATCATCGTAATCAGTATGATCATCATCATCATTAACATCAGAATCATGATCATCATAATCACCACCAGAATCATCACCATAATCGTGCCATCGGCATCCTCATCGTCATCGTCATCGTCGCCGCAATCATCGTCATCGTCATCATCCTTGCCATAGGTAAGAAATGTACCGATCTCATCGTCAGCATCACCTCATCACCATTAAATGATCAGCGTTCGGCAGCTATGCCTAGCTATCCCTTGCAGATCGCTACGGACGTATCAGCGTCGCTGTCCCCAGCAATACGTAGTCATTCCAAGGCACCCCGCTGGCACCGACCGATACGTCACTAGGAAAGCTGGCCCCATGATGGCCGCTACGCCGAATGATTTACAAACGCTCTCGGGGAGGAAAAGGGGGAGGTTGTACAGGGGCCTCGCTGAGTTTTGCCTGGTTCGTGCGCGTCTGAGGGGCACTGGACATCGCCACGATGCCGCTAAGACTCATCGCGCCGCGGACATCATCAGTCTTTGAGGACCTTCTGGATTCTAGGGAGCTCTATGGAGACCCAAAGTGAGGAGCAGATCGAGGAAGGAGGAGTGGGATGTGGAGGGGCTGGGGGAAGGACCCAGAGGCCCCCAGGAGGCCGCGCGTGAGGTTCCCAAGAGTCGTTCCAAGGAGGAGCCGCCGCAAAACAAACAGAGGAGGACGGGAAAGGGTTCGCAGGGTAAGACGAGAGCAAGGATGATGAAGAGGAAATGTGAGGGAAGATGAAGGAACACATCTCATAACGACGGCGGAACGGCAACACGAAGTTATCGTTGTGTTTCCGTATGTGTGTTATGCCTCTTCTTGTTCCTCTTCTTTCTTCTCATCTTCTTCCCCCTCTTTCTCCTCATCATTCTCCGTATCCTCTTCGTCAATCCCCTTGCTGCCCCTCCTACTGCGTAGCGCTTGCTTGAGATCATGAACGGTGCGGGACCCTTGTACTGACACGATTCACGCATTCGTTATTTCCACGCGTGTTGGATTTACAGTTATTTCAGTATGTGGGTTGGTCTCTTAATCGTCCTCCCTGTACTCCTGGTCACAGACATCAGCATCATCGTCATCATCGTTCGCAACTTCTTGTCATCCTCTTGCGTGCACTGTTTTTCAAAATTCATATCGTTTCATCATCCGGTTCTTGTCATTCATATGAATTCCGCTCGTCTTGCTCTTGTCCATCACAGTCATGTTCATCTGATGACTTCGTCCTTCGCAGCACTCTAACACGTGAGCTGGGTTCCGCGATTTTGCCCGACATTTCCATCTCCATCCCCAGTTACAATTTTACCCAGCATTACCCTACCATGGCACCCATGGTGCTGCGCATCGCGTCGCTCGCCGCCATGGGCAAGTTCATAACCATCGACGCCAGCGCAAGACCTCTGAGGTCAGGTGCTCACGGCGCTGACACAGTTGCAGACCTGTCGGCGGTGCAGGTATTTCCACCGGGGGCCAAAGCGGATAAGAAAGCAGGTGCCAGGAAAGAGGATCACACGGAGATATTGACAAGAGCATTTGCGAGAGATAGGACGGACGTGGGAACCAGATCAAGTGCGGAAGTTAAGGCCAAGGTGGAGAAGGAGTTCGAGGCGAATTCCGCAAGCAAGGTTACAGGTAAAGCGAAGGCGGAGGCGGAGGCCAAGGCGAGGAATGCCGATATGCTCGAGAGGGCGATGGCAGAGGCAAAAGCCAGGAGGGAAGCGAAGCAGGCGAGGGCGAAGGCTTCTGGGTCCAAGGCGATGGCGGAAGAAGATGGCAAGGCGCAGGCGAAGGAGAAGCAATTCGAGAAACAGTTGACGGAGGTGCTGGACAGTCTCAAGGCGGACAGGCAGATGGAGCAGGCGATGGAGGACCTCAGCAGGGCGGGCACCGAGGCCAAGGAGGGGGCGAAAGCGGGCGGCCGGGCGAAGGATGCAAAGATGTTAGAGGGGGCGATGGCAGAGGCAAGGGCTATGGAGGGGGAAGCGACGCGGGCCAGGGGCAGGGGCAGCGAGGAAGCGGAGGCCAGAACGAAGGCGGGGGCGGAGGCCAGAGCGAAGGCACTGACAGAGGCCAAGGCGACGGCAGAGGCCAAGGCCAAGGGAAAAGAGAAGAGCCGGGCGGAAGCGGAGGCCACGGCCCGGGCGAAGGCGGAGGCAGAGGCCAAGGCAAGGCAGGAAGCAGAGGTCAAGACGAGGGCGGCCAGAGCGAAGGCGGAAGCAGAGGCGAAGGCCAAAGCCGAGGCGAGCAAGCAGCCGGACACCCACAGCCAAGGGGGCCCCAGGCAATCCTCCTCCTCCTCCTCCACCTCCTCCTTCTCCTCCTCCTCCTCCTCCTCCTCCTCCTCCTCCTCCTCCTCTGCCTCCCTGTCTCCCTCCTCCTCCACCCCCTCCCCCTCGTCCACTCTCCCCCCCTTCCAGCTCCGGGCAGCGGGAGTCCATGGCGTACGGGGACCCGCACATGCAGAACATCCTCGGGCAGCGCTTCGACCTCATGCAGCCCGGCTCGCACACGCTGGTGCTGATCCCCCGGCTGGCTCCGGAGCGCGAGAGCGAGCTGCTCCGCGTCCAGGCGGGTGTGCAGCGCATCGGCCGGGCGTGCGCGGACATGTACATCACGACGCTGAACGTCACTGGCAGGTGGGCGGAGGCGCGGCGGCGGCCGCACGGCCTACATTTCAATGCGGCCGAGCCCGCCGACCGGAGGGGCACCAACTGGATGCACTTCGGGAGCCGCCGGGGGGGGGGGCCTGGGCCCTCCAGGTGGAGCCGGGCTCGACGGGGTCGCAGGCCAACGCCGCATCGCCGCTGGCGCCGCATCGCCGACGCATCCACAGTGCGGCGCGATCTGAAGCAAGCTCTGCGCCATGCCGCCGTCGCCGATGCACGGGCGGCGCGGCGCGATCCTCCGACCCCATGTGTTCCGGCACCACTTGGTGTGCACCCAAACCCAGACCTGCTGCGTCCCAAATTTTGTGATAGGGGGTCAGACACTTTCCCTGGGACCAGTTTTCCATACTGAGTCGTTTTTTGACGGTCCGAGGCCCGGCGAGGGCCCCCCGAGGCCGAAATTGGCCAAAAACCTCCTGGCCTGATTTTTGCACGACGCGATCGTGTCTGGGAGGAAAGGGGGGCAGTCGGCGGCGCGCAGATGGTGGCAGCGCGAGGCGGGGCCTTCCGAAGAAGCTGGGTGGGCTCCTCCGAGAAGCCTCCTCCTCCTCTCTTTCTCCTCCTCCTCCTCCTCCTCCTCCTCCTCCTCCTCCTCCTCCTCCTCCTCCTCCTCCTCCTCCTCCTCATCCTCCTCCTCCTCCTCCTTCATCCTCCTCCCCTCCTCCTCCTCTCCTCCCCTCCCTCCTCCTCCTCTTCCTCCTCCTCTCCTCCTCTCCTCCTCCTCCTTCTCCCTCTCCCGCCTCCTCTTCTCCTCCTCCCTCCACCTCCTCCTTCATCCTCCATCCTCCCTTCCTCCTCTCCTCTCCTCCTCCTCCACTTCCTCCTTCTCCTCCTCCTCTCCTCCTCCTCCTCCTCTCCTCCTCCCCCCATCATCATCATCATCATCATCATCATCATCATCATCATCATCATCATCATCATCATCAAATCATCATCATCAGCATCATCAGCATCATCATCATCATCATCATCATCATCGTCATCGTCATCGTCATCATCATCATCCCCCTCCTCCTCGTCCCTCCTCCCGTCCTTATCCTCCTCCTCCTCCTCCTCCTCCTCCTCCTCCTCCTCCTCCTCCTCCTCCTCCTCCCCTCCTCCTCCTCCTCCCGCTCCTCTTCCCTTCTGATACGCAAGAAGTACCGTTCTCAAAGCGTCCGTGTCAACACGTTGCGGGTGGCTCAACGTATTGGCCCACGTTCTGGCGAACGAATTGCGCGTCGGACCTACGTTTTCAAGATACGTGCTGAGCTCCGTATCAGTACGCTGCGTGTTGCGCATTGCGTAACTGGGAAGCTAATCCTGGAATCCCCCCAGGCCCTCTGAGAAGCGACACCCTCTCGCCCCACGCCCTGCTGCGCGCAGACACGACCGGCTCGGGGAGGGGGCGAGGGAGGGGGGGGGGGGGGGGAAATCGGCCCAGAAGGGGACCGTGACCCAGACATATGACGTCCTGATTCTTTCAATACAGGGTCCCTGGAAGTCCCGACCCCTTCCCCAGGACCGGTTTTTCATCCCGAGTCGTTTTTGGACGGTCACGAGGCCCCGCGAGGGCCCCCCGAGGCCGAAATCGGCCAAAAACCTCCCGGCCTGATTGTTTCACGACGCGAGAAGATCTGGGAAGCGTACCATCGGGCCATCGGGGGCACGTCGGTGACGCAGCGTCGACTGCGGGCCGCAGGTGGCCACCCCTGCAGCCGGCCGTCGATCGGGGGGTGCCAAAGGTGCCCCTGGGCCTATGATGTTCCAGCCCATTTTGACCTGATGCACCAGAAAAAAATCTAACACCAGGAAAACAAAAAAAAGTACCGAAACCCGAGGGTTTTCACGCGGCGGGCCCTTGGAGACCCTCGCCCGGCACTTGTTCGGCACTCTCCCGACGCTCTTGCGACCCTTTTTTCCGGGCGCTCGAACGTATTTCTGGGATGCGGTCCTCAAGTACGAGGGGAACAACATAACCCTGGGCCAGGGTGCTCCCAGCTTTTCGCTCAATTCTGGACCCCTGGGGGCTCTCTGGGCCTCGCGAGGGGTGCTCCGCAGGCCGTGGCGGCCTCCGTGGGACTCCTGGCGGGCGCCTTGGGCCAGGGAGACTTCCAGCGCAGCACCCGGCGCGAGGGTGCGGCACTCCGGCCCTGGCCCTCGGGAGGGGTGCCCCTCTCGCCGAGCGCGTTCCCCTGCTCGCAGAGTGCCTACGCGCAAACGCCCGACAGGCACATGCCTGCTCCGAGGTAATTGATCGAGGACCCCCCGCGGCGGATGCGGGCCACTTGCGAGCAGTCACCTTGCGAGCCGTGGCACGCGCTCGTCGATGTAGTCTATCGAAGACCCCCCCTGGCGGAGCAGTTGTACGGCAGTGCGAGCAGTGGCACGGTACGAGCACATGCCTGCTCCGATGTAGTCTATCGAAGACCCCCCCCGGCGGAGGCAGGCAAAGTTGCGAGCAGTGGCACGCGCTCGTCGAGCCAGGGAGACTTCTGTCAGGAGGGAGAGAAACACACAGACGCAAGTCATCGTCGACTCCCAGGAAAATAAGGGAAAATATGGGAAATAGTTATATTTGTGTCCTTGGGCCCCTTGATTCTAGCAACACCCGGCTCGAGGGTGCAGCACTCTGGCCCTGGCCCTCGGGGGAGGCGTGCCCCCTTTGGGTGCCGCGTGCCAGAGGCCCCCCGCCTCGGAGCGCTCCTCGCTCCGGGCGGGCAGCTCCGTAGGGGGCATTGGGCCCTCGGCGCATGGGGAGCTCGCGCTCCCAGACACGATCGCTCCCAGTCGACGATGTGTCACCGACCTGCCCCCGATGGCCAGATGGCAGGTACACTTCCCAGATATTATCGCGTTGTGAAAAAAATCAGGCCGGTAGGGTTTCGGCCACTTTCGGCCTCGGGGGGCCCTCGCTGGGCCTCGGGGCCGTCAGAAAACGACGCAGGATGAAGCAGCGGTCCCGGGGAACGGGTCGGGACTTCGGGGGTCCCGTATAGAAAAGATCAGGACGTCGCATGTCAGGCTTCCTGACCCATTGGTAGAGTAGGGGTCCGACTACGGAATTGATTTACAGTAAAGTCGATTTCCTCGTCGATTCTACGAACGAGTAAGCGGGAAGCTCCTCGGATCTACGGAGCACGCTACGTTTTTTTGGTGCGAGTGTCAAATTAAGTCTGGGGTGAGCCAATTCGGTAGTCGATCCCCTACTCGAGCTGCTGTGGCCGTGCTTCGAGTGTACCCCTCAGGGGCAACGTTACGAGGGGAGAGCAGGCTCAGGGGGAGGTGCATCGACCCCGCAATCGCCCATGGATCGCCGATGGGGGCCCGATAGCCCCAACCCACCCAGGACCTCCTCCCTCCCTCCTCCCTCCTCCCACCTCCTCCTCCTCCTCCTCCTCCTCATCATCATCATCCTCCTCCTCCTCCTCCTCCTCCTCCTCCTCCTCCTCCTCCTCCTCCTCCTCGCTGTCGGGGGCCTGCCGCCGAGCCAGCGGCGATGCCTGGCCGATCCCGGTCGCCCCCCCGAGCTGGCCCCCCCCCCTCCTTTCGTGTTGCCCCTCGACCCCGCCCCGGCGGGCGACGCCCCGCGAGGGCCGGGCAGCGAGGGCGTGCGCCGAGGGGGCAGCCGCGCGGCGATGCGCGCGCGCGCGCGCGCCGGCCCCATCGAAGGAGCTCGCTCGGCCACCTGGACCTGAAGGTCGTCTACGGCCAGACGCCCACGGGCACCAGGTACCTGAACTTCTTCGTGAGGCGCCTCGGCCAGGTGGGCTGCCGCGTCGGGGGCCTGCTGGGAGAGGACGACCACACCGCAGCGACGATGCCGGACAGCCAGTGCAAGAACATCCTGGTGCTCTTGGAGGCTCCTCCTCGTCGTGCCCGCCCTCCTCCTATCCCACCCTCGCTTTCTTCTCCTCCTCTCTCTCCCGTCTCGGGGGCGAGGATAACATCCTCCTCGCCCTCATTCTCCATCTAGTTTCTCATCCTCATCACTCCTCCTCGTCCTCCTCCTCCTCATCATCATCACCAGCAGCTGCGTCAGCATCCTCATCCTCATCCTCATCCTCCTATCATCATCATCATCATCATCATCATCATCATCATCATCATCAGCAGCAGCAGCAGCAGCATCAGCAGCAGCATCACCATCATCCTTCTCGCCCTTCTTCTCCTCATCCCTGGTCCTGATTCCTCCTCCTCCTCCGCTTCCTCCTCCTTCTGCTTCCCTCCTCCCTCCTTCTCCTCTTCCTCCTCCTTCAGGGAATTCCCGCAGACCGTGGCGAGCCAGCCCGATCGGCGGCAGGGGCGAGCCTGCTGTAGTTGCATCGCCCTCTGCCCCGCGCGCGCGAGCTGTGATCACCAGGACATGGAGAGATACTGGTCATCAACATCATTTTCATGCTCACCATCACAGGCACAGCCATGCCCATTGTAAGAATGATTGCTCTCCCCCTCCTCCTCCTCCTCCTCCTCCTCCTCCTCCTCCTCTCTTCCTCCTCCTCCTCCTCCTCCTCCTCCTCCTCCTCTTCCTCCTCCTCCTCCTGCTCCTCCTCCTCCTCCTCCTCCTCCTCCTCCTCCTCCTCCGCATCGGCCTCCTCCTCCTTCTCCTCCTGTTCAGCTTGAATTGGCGGAAGAGGAGGAGAGGAGGCAGGAAGCAAAGGGGGGAGGAAAGAGAGGAGGAGGAGGAGGAGGAGGAGGAGGAGGAGGAGGAGGAGTTACGACTCGTCATGTATACTGTCATGTTCCGACCAGACCGACCGAGGAGGAGGAAGGTCGACCACGAGACGACCACGACGACCACGACGACCACGACGACCACGTCGACCACGACGACGACGACGACGACGACGACGACGACGACGACGACGACGACGGCAACGACGACGACGACGACGACGACGACGACGACGACGACGACGACGGCGACCACGGCGACGACGGCGACGGCGACGGCGGCGACGACGACGGCCGCGGCGGAGACGACGGCGACGACGACGACGACGACGACGACGACGAGGACGACGAGGATGCCGAGACGGAGGAGCGCGCCAGTTGTCGTGATGAGGGGTGCCCAGCCTCGCGTGGCGGGTGCCCCGCGCCCGAGTTTTTTGTCGCCCCCCCGGAGGTCGGTGCCGGGCGGCACTTCCTGGCACGTGGAGGCGCCCGCGGCGGCACTCCTGTAAGACAGTCCACCCGCACAGCAAGGACGGGCAGCCTTCGCAGGGGTACCCTTGCAGCCTTGCCCCGTCCGCCGGTCCTCGGCCGCTTCCTTGGGCCGCGCCCCGCTCGCAGAGCGTCAACGTGGCCTTCCAAGGCCCTTGCAGCATCCTCATCGTGCATCCTTCTGATACGGGCGAGGACCGACCACAGCGCCGTGCAGCTTGGCTTGGGCCCTTGTCTTGTCTTTCGTTGCGCTGTTCGTTGTTGCTGTTTCGTTCCGGTTTTCGCTGTTGCTCTGAACGCCCCGCTTCGTCGTTCGCTTTCGTTTGGCACCGGCTTCGTTTTCAACGTTCGTGTTGAACGTTGGGCCTCGTTCCGTTGATCGTTGTAAACGACTTTTCGTTTTGAACTTCGTTGTGGTCGGCCCCTGGATACGGGATGATCGGGGGCGGCACAGAGGGGGGTGCTGACTAGGGCGGGGTGGATATCGTGGCGGGGGCCATGATATTTCCCAGGTTTCATGGCGCCTCTTCTCATTTCATTACGTCCCTGGCCCCCCCAAGGGCCGCGCACATGCCGCCAGCCATGATTTACGCCCCCGCCTCTTGGACCCCCCCCTCTTGGCGGCCCCCGAGCAGTGGCGAAGCGTCCTGGCATGCCTACAGGCCTGCCAAAGAATGCTCTAGGAACCTCTTGGGGTCTCAACGGCCTGTTCTTAGAACATGTCTGGCTGGGACTGTCCTGTTGTAGCACATCGGGTTCACGTTCTGAGAACGTTGTCTTTGTTATTGGAACATTCTTGGGTTCTGAGAAGATTTCGTGGTAGGCCTATAGGAATGCCGGGATAGTCAGTCCCTGCTCAACTGTGGGGGTTCCATTCGGTAGCAAGTCATGTGAGCTTTGTGTACCCTCGCAATTTTGTCTTTAGCGTCGACTCGCGTCGATTAGCGTCTGGGAGTCGATGAGATAGCGCCACTTTAGTGTCGGTGAGCCTCGACGATCGTCGATCTGGCGTCGATCTGGCGTCGATGAGCGTCGACCCGCAAGAGCCGACAAGATGGTTTTGTGGGGGGCTCCCACGAGCTGCCACCGAAGGCTCCAGAAGGACCTCGCCCTCGAGAAGTCGGAGGAGGAGGAGGATGGAGGAGCAGGAGGAGGGAAGAGGGGGGGAGGAGGGAGGAGGGAGGAGGCAAAAGAGAAGAAGGGATAAGGAGGATGAGGAGAAGGAGGAGAAGGAGGAGGAGGAGGAGGGAGGGAGGAGAAGGAGGGAGGAGGATGGAGGAGGAGAAGGAGGGAGGGAGGGAGGGAGGAGGGAGGGAGTGAGGGAGGAGGGAGGAGGGTTCCTCGGCGCAGGACCAGCGGAGGCTGGCAGAGGCACGAGGCGCTGGCGGCAGCGGGCGGAAGAGCGCCGCCCGCCTCCCCGAGAGGCATCCCCTCTGCAGGATGCCAGCGTCGTGGAGCGGGCCATGCGCACCGGCGTCGGTGCCTCTAGGGGGCCACGTGCGGACCCTACCCCCTACCCCCCACGATTTCTGAGGGGGAGGGTGGGGTTCACTTCGCTCGGGAGGTCCCGAACGAAGCGAACCCCACCCTCCCCCTTCAGAAATCGTGGGGGGCAGGGGTAGGGTTCGCATGTGGCCCCTTGGCCTCCAGGCCTCCTTGGCGTCCCGAAGACAGAAGAGAGGATATGCAAGCTGGCGAGCAAAAGGACAAAAAAAAAAAAACAGCGGGAGGGCCCGGGCCCTCCCTAGGCTGGGGCTCTCTTCGGGAAGGGGGCGTCGTCGGGCCGCGGGGCCCGCAGAGAGGAGAGGAGCCCGCGGCGCGCGAGGCCCACGCTTTTAGCGAGGGGGCCGAGGGTCTGGGAGGCCCACGCAGCGGCCCTAGCATCGCTCGGACGTGTGCATTTTTTCCCCCGGCAACGGCCCTCGAGAAGCATCCTGGATCATTTGGCGAGGAAGCCAGGCACGAAACCGACAAGAAAAAACACGGGGAAGGGACGTCCGAGCGATGGCCAGCGGAGGCATCGGGACGCCCGGACGCCCGGATTTTTTTTGAAGGGGGGGGGGGGCGGGGGGGGGGGCTTTCCAGGGTCCCAGGGTCCAGGACACTGTCGGCCAGGACTTTGCAAGCTCCGGCTGGAGACAGCGGGGAGGATGGAGGGCGTGTCGACCCACGCCGGCACAGTTTCCTCAGGCGCGCCGGTGTCCTGGCTTGCTACAAAATTCCCTCTACGGGGTCCTGAGCCTTGGGCTTGAGACGGCGGGCGGATTTGCAGTCGACTCCTTTGTTCTCACGAGTGCACGTCCTGCGCGCGCACATCATGTGGGAGCACACACGTTCATGTGTGTGTAAATCTGTACATGTATATACATATATGCACACAGACACACTAACACACACACACACACACACATACACACACAATCACAAGATTTCCTCCGACGCGCCACAGGGTCCAATCGGCGGGTAGTCACAATGGTGAGCTACGCTCAAAGTCATTTACTTCCTTACGAGGTGGCGCGGCTGAACAATGGTCCTGGAAGCACGCCTTGGCAGACCAGAGGTCGCAATGCCAGGCGGTGCAGGGCGGAGGGCAAAGTGACTCGCAAACAGAGCCGAAGAGGCAAAGGGGGGGACGCCACTGGCAGCCAAGCCAGCTGGGCGACGGCGCCAGACGGCCAGCAGGCCGAGGAAAACGAGAACCGACGCGGCAGAGGGAGGAAGAGGGCCGAAGGAGAAGAGAGCGGATGAGACCGGGAGGTGGCTGAGCAGCCCAGCGACACCAACCGCGACAGCACACACACACACACACACACACACACGCACACACACACACACACACACACACACACACACACGTTTGTTCGACGTCCCGGCAAACGCGCGCAGCAGCAGCGGACTCAAGCTAAGACCGAGGGCCCAAACAGTAGGGGACCGCGCGACATGATTCGTGGGGGGGGGGGGGGGGGCGCGGCAAGGTGGGGACGAGGCGGGGTCGACTGGGGAAGGCGGAAGGCGCGACCGAGGTGGTCATGGCACGAGTCAGCCGTGGAGGTGCAAGAGTAGACGAGAGCACAGTGGCGGACCCGCAAGGGGTGGGCAAACACACACACACACACACACACTCTTTGCGTCGCGGCCCTGCGCGCAGCGACAGGGCGGAGAAGGTTGAAAAGCAGTAAACGCACGCGCGCGACTAAGCACGCCCGAGCCCTCAGAGACCGCTTAGGGTCCCGCAGCCGCGGGCAGCCATGAGCCATGCACACACACACACACACACACACACACACACGCGCACACACACACGCACACGCACACGCACACGCACACGCACACGCACACGCACACGCACACGCACATACATGCATATGCACACATTTATTTCTCCGACGCGCTGATGACTGCAGTCAGCGAGTGAAGGCCAGCCGGGTCGCGTACGGGCCAAATGTACCACCCGCGAAAAAGCCAGGCGAAGCAAGCGAAGGGGAAGCGGCGGTTGGGCCACAAGACGTTCAGCAAGGCAGCAGGGCAATGAGGACACACTTTTGCGTCGGCGGCTAGGCAGAGTGACTGCGCTGGCGGATGGGGCAAATGTATGGCATACAATTGCTAATTAAGCCGCGGTGCACGTGAGCAGGGGGAAGGCCCGGCGCAGGCGGAAGGGAGACGGAGGCCAGGCCCGGTCAGAGCGGGGCCAGGCCAAGGCGGGGCAGCGCCGGGGCGGCGGGGCGGCAGTCGCGAGGCAGCCGGGGGCGGGCAGCAGCCAAAGGCAGCCGCGCGAGGGGGGGGGGGGGGAACAGGCCCAGACAGTGCTGGGGATGGGCAGCACAGTGAGGCGGCTGAGCGCCGAGGTCGAGCCGACCTTCCAAGCGACAGAGCAGCTGGAGAAGACCGCCTCCTCAGGAGAGGGGCCGGGGGGTAGCCTGGAAGGGCCCGAAGCGAGCAGAAGCGCCGAGATCCATGGACCTGCGAGACGCCGGAGGGCGGGCGGCCCGGGTACCCTGGGTTGGGGACCGCTGGGGGCAGAGCAGCGAGCGAGCAGGCCCACGTGGCGAAGCCGGCACGAGGACCGCAGGCCGGCTTGAAAACCTGGCAAAAACAGTGGGGGGGGCCGGCCCAGGGGTGGTCCAAGGCCGACCAGCCCCCAGAATTGGGCAGAGCCGGGCAGGGCGGAGGCCAGAGGCAGGGCCTGCCCTAAAAGCTGCGGAAGGCCGGCAAGCCGTCCTGCCAGGGCAGAGGAGGCAACGGCGGGGCAGAGGCCTCCACCC